ACTCTAGTGGTGCTTGTTATTCTTGTTCCAGACTTTTAAGTGATTCCATCCCATGTTCGTCATTATTATTGCCCCAAGGAATTATAATGTTTCAATACCATGATTCACCTGTCAAATTTTCATAACAGTTGCCTTTAGCTTTCCGGCAAAATTGGCCTCGTTTTGAGTTCCTTTTAAAAGTGTCATGTTGATATCGAGTTTGTAGCCTTTAATCGGTGACATTTCAGAACGGGATTGGCCATTCTGGTTCGTTTTTCCCTTTTTGCAAAGTAAAAGTTTGAAAGCTGTAGGAAGAGATAGGTTTAGACTGCTGTAGCGTTCTAGGGTTTTTATCACGACATTGAATCATCGAACAACTTCCGAACCGTTGAGTTAGGCCGATGGGCCTAGGCTCCGAATGGATCTCACAGAAAAAAGATCACATCCCTGGTTGATGTTTTTTCTATTATTCCAAAAAAATAACTGAGCTAAGTTTTCAGTTTCAGTTTTAGTTTCCAATTCTATTCATTTATCAATCAATACTAAGTACAACTCCACAAAATTACAACTACATTACAATTACTGTACATTTACTAATTTACAAAACCATACATACTAAGGAGAATACGCTACTACGAAAGAAACTAAGACATGATCAAAGACATAAACGGGAGATACAAACTGGAACTAATGATATAAATTTAAAATAACTATCAAACAAAACATCCACCACACGTGTAAGGCAAACACATTTCCATGATAAGGTCTTCTTATGGCTACTAGACTTAGCAAAACATGTGTCTTAAACACTCGACTAAAGCTCACTAAACTTATAAAATATAGCTAACGGCTAACTTGTTACATTACTATAAAGCGATCGACTTATTTGGTGGTTATATTCTAGTTTGATGAACTGGGTTTCTCTCTTTTGATTTCATTAATTTTTAAAGATCTTAAAAGTTCATTGCAAATCTTTTTTATTATTTCACTCTAGAAACATCTGTCTCTCTTTCCCAGTGGCTACCATATTCTAGGCAAGGGTATTGTTTTTCAGTATTAGACTCTGCCAAGGGTATCCTTCTGTCTAACCAACGGTACCTCATACCTACACTTAGCTAAGAACCCATGAGTGATTTCCGCTTAAACGATTTTCGACACAAGCGATTTTCGACGAAAGCGATTTTCCAACATTAACGACCTAAGCGAAGCAGATAGCGATACTCGCCATCACAATGCTTTGATAAATTTTCTTGATTTCTCACAAACCAAAACATCTTAATTAACTTTGATATGCAACAACGCTTGATATTTTGCTAAATATTTCATAAGCGTTGTATAAATAGTTAATTTATTGGTTTTTATGGTTGATTGTCAATAGTCTTACACTGACCTAGTAGGTGCCACAAAACCACATAAAATCTACACCACATTCAAAATTAATGATGTATCTAACTTTTCTTCTAAAGTGCCCTTTCTTGTATCTTTCCGCACTTTTTACCTTTATCCAGTCTGCCTGCCACTGATTACTATCCTACTGTCAATTGCCAGCTGACCTTTAAATTTGAATTTTATTGAACGGTTCGACAAAGGGAGGTTACCGTAACTTCATATGAAAACAGTCCTGAAGTGAAGGTGTAAAGCCGAAAACCAACTCCGGAAAATGATCCGCGGATCGGATCAGATTTTGTGTTGCGCACGCGCTTTGGATGAAAAAATAGTCACATGACTGATCCGCGACGGATCGAAAAGGATGGTAAAAAAAGTTGAAATCATTTCATCTTTTTTTTAACCGTTCCGGTACAGTAGTTTTCATTTGATCAAAATCGAATTAGAACTTTTTAAACAATAGAGCACTTGCGTCATGAATACCAATCTGAAACGATCCGCGGATCGAAAGGAACTGACCAGAACAACACGACCTGATCCGATCCGCGGATCGTTTTCCAGAGTGGGTTTTCGGCTTAAGAATGAGAACGTTTCTTGTCTTTACATTTAGGAGTACTCCCGGTGTCTGAATAACGCTAACACATGATAAAAAGAAAACCTATGATGATCAACGACATCTTGTTTTGCGTATTCTTACTCTTATCAGTGAGGAACGCGGTCCCAAAGTGTCATTCTCTCTTTCCAACGGAAGATTCCATTTTTATATCATTTTCAACAAAACGAGGCAGGGGAACATGTTTATCGACGACATTGCTCACAATTTTGAGGAAAGTTAATTTTTCTACGAATCTTTGTCTGGTGATATCTTACGAACGAGCTTGTGATGATGGCCAGTCAAAGACCAGTCGCATGCGATAACAGGCCTGATTTTACAGACGCAGATTTCGGAATACATCACGGACAAGCATGATATCAAAATTTTAGAGAAGCCGTGACGCGAATTCAGAAAGTGATTGGGCTACTAGCCGGCTTAGCTTTGACTGAGTCTGGTTGCTGTTGCTCTCAAAACTGTAGATAAATGTTATCTAGACCACTGTTTAAACAGAGTTAATCCCCCGTCAGAAATGGCACGCCAGCCTCGTAATAATGCAGCGGCTAAAGGGAACTGGGCCCCGGTATCCGGGACTTTGTTGGTAGGCGCTCTAACTCGTGCTCTCTGGTTAGGCTCCCTCTCGGCTCTAAGCTTGCCACAAACGGTTGTTTGGCCTTCAGGAGCGATTAAAATTGAATATTCTCTCCCACTCACCCACTAATCCACTAATTCTTATTACCTTTTCTTCCTTCAATCTGGCTGTCATTCTTTTCCCTTTCCACAGGATCTTTCCATCTTATTGGCTTGTGCATCAGTCGGGAAAATGTTTCCCAGTGGTGACACCTTTAAAATCGGTATTCTCCTGGCAGTATAAGGGCTGGTGCACCTAGCAAGCCCACTTCCTGGAATTTAGGTTAAGATTCCAAGTTTGGTCAAGTTGTAGGCTATTTCTGGCTTAGTGCATCTCTCGTCTCATTGACCCTTCTTCTAGCCATGTTCAGTAACAAGGTTTTTTTTCATTAGATTCTTTTTAATTCGGTTTATTTTGTTTATTGTTGAGGAGGGTAGGATTAAATAATCCAATGGGACTTGGTTCAGGCCTAAACGGAAGTAGACTTTCGAACTACAGTGGACTTTGTTGTTGTGTCCGCACTACACTCTGCATGCCAAAAGGCTTGAGCTAAGGAAAAGGTTGTGTGATGGTAACATCCTCTGTTTCAGTTTCAGTTCATTTCATTTCATTTCATATGTTTAAGAAGAGAACCCCTTCAGCAATGCTGATTTTCAAGACGCCATCAGTCCATTTCTATTGTCAAAATATCAGGTTTCGCGGTGCTATGCTATAAAATAAGTTCCACCCTGGACTCTAATGATGTATACGAAGGCTTTTTCTAAAAATTCGCCTGATAACTGTTTTCAGTTAATGGGAATGGAACCATTTTTGTAACATAGACAATTTCTTCTCTCAAAAATTTCCTGGGAATCAAGAAACGGAATTTCACCGATAAATTAGGCTGCAATGTTGAGAAGCAATGCAGAAATGTCTGGTGAATGTTGGGCTCAATATCAAGTCGTTTGAACACCTCTGTATTTTTCCCCAACTTTTGAAATAGTTGATTGGTGAATGTTAGATTAAATATTGCATCAAACTGTACGCTTTCAAATGTCAAATCGTTATGCTTTGAGTTACCTCAAGGTCCTTCTCTTGTCCTATTTCTTTTTAATATATTTAAAATACTGGGCGATGCTTGGCCAAGGTCAAACGCTCAAACAAATTCATTTTGCTTTGCTTATTGGTTCAAATGTTTGGTCGTTTGCACACATACCTGACGTTTCTTTATGATCGCTTATTTGTTTATCCTAAAGTACAAGACGCTGTTGCTTGCACAAGCGCAAATGTTAGATATGATTTATAGGTGAAATGCCAGATCATTTACAAACCTGTCACAAATCACCTGAAATGTCTCACAAAAAGTCAGATCAAATATTAGAACAAAGGTTAGGTCTTTTGCACTGTCCTTAAGATTTCTAGCGGTGCAACCCCACCTATTTACAAGCAATTTTTTTCTTACAATGATTATATTCAGGCTGTTGTGCCAACAACCTGATTTTTCGAATCGTCTTTAATCAACTGTCAAAACAGTCGAGCCGGGCTTTATTGCAGAAAAACAGATTGACATATTTCTACTTAAATTACAAATTTGACCAGAAGCGTAGCTATCAGGGTGTTTTAAGGGGGTTTCATGACAGCCAGCAGGGACATCCCCAATCTTTCATGAGCGTGTTGGTAAATCTTCTGTTGGCTCACAACCTTCTTAGATAGTCGGTGAAATAGCACCAAAATTCTTCTTCATCTATTTCTTCATCGGTAAACTTAACTAGTGATGACCCCACCCCTCTCCCCATAGTCTGGAACGTCAAGCTACACGAGTGAACTCGACCTATTCTAACTTGGCCAACTTTCGTGTTTTTATATGCCCTTCACGGAGGCAAAGCTGCAATTTGATTTCCCTTTGGCATTTTCAAAGTGGTCTTGTTTCAGATAACAGAGCCACTTCCAATGAGAAACAGAATTGCGAAATGGGAGGTAAATCCAGGAGTTTTAACTTAGACTATCTTAGTTCTATTATTTTATCTTGAAAGCAGTAAAATGAGACTCGATTTTCTTTCTCCTCGTTCACATATTCCTACTTGCATTACGTTTTACGACAGCTGCAAAAGTACCCGTGGTACTTCATATGATTACCACTAAAATGGCTTAGCTTCGATCTCTCTCTACACAACATGACCGCGAACAAAAAACCTTTGAATGTATGCTTCCTTTAAACGTTTCCTTGAAAGATTTGGAAAACTGACAGGTATTAGATGTATGCATATGGAACATGGCTTAAAAACTTTATCAAATTCCGGTCACTTCATACAAAAGTAAGATAGCGCGCTTGGCTGTATTCTGTATTTATGTAACACAGGTTTGCTGCAGCTGTTCAGGGCAAGTGAACATAAAAGAAAAGAGCATTACATAATTGTTATTTGCCTCTTCTAGATCCACACATCAAGGTGGCCGGACTACCCGCGGATATCAAGACAGCAAAACAGATGATTCTCTCAGTGCTCGATGTTAAAGTGAGTTTTGCTGATAATTTTCTTAATTATTGATTACCGTATCTCAAAAATCTTATCTTTGTCAGGCCCAAGTATAGGCGACGGAGAATTTCATCATTTTTTAAGGCCCCCTCCCGCCAAAGAGGTTTTTATGATTAAAAAGTAGGTATTTGGTTCATAAAAGATAATTATTTTCGAAATATTTATCAAGTTTTAAGTTTATAAAGTTGCATATTTCCGTACAAAACCGACCAAACCGAGTCAGTTTTCGGCTCTCGTTCGCCGTGAATTTTGTATGTTTTCCAACATCGCAATTGCTTCTTCGCCACCCTAGTCGAACGGATGAATATTTCGTCTAACAGCGAAATACCGACATCGGGAAAAATATGCCGAAATCAAGTCGATTTCGATCGGCCGATCTCCATTTTGCACATGCTCATTTGCAATAAATCGAAAATAGCGCTTGTAAATAGCGAAAATAGCGAAAATAGAATATTACTAGAGTATCAACTTATTTTGTTTTTCTCATGAAAAAAAACAAACAGGTTTTAAGCAATAGTGTATACCTGAATTTTGTAATGATGTATAGAAACTAGAAGATTTCCATTGCAGAACCATTGCAATGGAACCATTTCTTGCGATTCCGGAGCAATTAATTGAGAGCCAGGACCATTGACTTTGGCCCTGTTCACATGATACCGGATTCATTTCGTATCGGATCGCTTTTCTTATCGGATCTTTGTCACACGATGACGCTTGAATCCGATACGCTCCCTATCGTTTTTTCGGAGTCAAACCACTCCGCTGCGAATGTGGAATGGAATCATATCGGATCACTTTTGAGCTCGTGTGAACGCATGAATCTGATACGGTTTCGCTCGGGAACCTCAGTTTCTAAAAAACAGCTTCGTTTTTGGGGTTTTTAAAAACAGTTCGGCACTCTTTTTAAGACACAAAATGACAGTGGATCGCAGTTGAATAATAAATATGCTCCTTGCTATGATGATGAGCTTCACAAGATTAATGCAAAGGAAACTTAGATTGTTTGAAAATTGATTTCGAAATACTTCTTCTTCAAAACAAAACAGCGTATCAGTTCCGTCACGTCAAAGAATGGTTTCAATCAGAAAAAGAGCAAAAAAACGAACAACATTCAACGTTGCTATGCACCTGCTTCAAAACGATGGATTTTACAGAGCAGTGTTGAAGCGTAGCGTCACCGTATGAACAGGAGTGAATACGATACAAAATGAATTCGGTATCGTGTGAACAGAGCTTAATATTCGTATTGGATTGTGTCAGTGAGTCCGATATGAGATAAATCCGGTATCGTGTGAATAAGGCCTTAGCTCGAGATTTCCATTGTAGAACATTTTTGTGTGTTAAATCCGGAACCATTTCTTGCGAGTCCGGAACAATTTATTGATAGCCAAGACCAATGACTTAGCTTTCGAAAATTGTAAAAATATATTATGTCATGTTTATTGATACTATTAAAATATTATATACTCCGTGAGACTGTAAGGTTAGCCTATTTTCATTAATTTTCTCACTGCATTTCCTCCTTCACGTCAATGTTCACTTAACTGTGCATCGCTCGCTTTAACGACACATTGCGTAGGATGGATTTAAGGTGCGAGGGTGGCTCACTGGTTAGGGTCGCTGACCACAAATCCAAGGGTCCGTAGCTCGAGTTCTCGACCTGACCAAGCTTTCCCTCAGTCTGAGGAGAGTCGCCATCTCTCAGCAAATCCAGGCGTATAATCACGAGGTGTGTTTACATCGAGAGGAACAACAGGACACCGTTTTCGGGGTCCTAGAACTACCGTCGTAAGCTAGGTAGCAGAATACTAATACAATATTAGCCAATAGATAATCGTGAGAGCGATACCGCGTTTACTGATTGGCCAACTGTTGATTGATATCTATCAATTGCATTTATGTCAGTGTTTATGTTCTGTAGGTTGCGTACGGTTCTGTGTGGTGAAAATATAGCTAAGATATTTTGGAGAAAGGTCACTAAGTCCTTTAAAAGCGTTGTGCTTGTGAAGCTGTTCTTACAAAGAGAGACTGTGTAGGAGTTTTAAGACGTTATTGCCCTGTTGAGAAGGGTATAAATTCTTTTTTAATTAAAATCTTAGTTTTTCGAGTCACATGTTTGCAAGAAATAATTAGAGTATTTTGAACAACCTCTAGTTATATTCGTCAGAACAGACTTCCAATTGGGCAAAACGGTCGCTAAACATACAGGAGTTTTGCAAATGATTTAAAACTAATTGATTTTTTCTATCATTTAAAATTTTAATTTACAGCTACACTCAAACACGCGCCACGCACAACAGTGAAGGACGCAATGACATCTAGTCTCCATTATGAGTGACGTTTACAATTTTAAATTTTATCTAAGACTCATTATCAACGCACAGTCAAGCTGCCGTGTTGATGGGGACCTTATCTTGTTAAATTCCACAGTTTTCTTGTTTAGAAAGTCAAAATCGCGTATTTACGTAGGAAAAGGATATTAGGAAACTTGCAAAGCTGTTGTTGTGTGATAGGCTGCTCCTTGTAGCATGAATGCATTAAAAGTAGAAAAATTTAAGGGTTCCAGCACGTCAGATTATGTTGGCAGAGATGTCAGGGTTCTAATTCACTATTTTTTCGATAAAATAGGCCCATCTTAGCAATAGTTGGGGCTGCAACCAGCAGCCTCCTGTTTCCGTCGGTCCTGGATAAATCTGTTGCAGCAAAAGGCGGAGCTAATGCAAAATAAAGCATGTAACTTCTTGTGCTAAATTTTCGAATTTTCGAATTCGAAGTGAAATTTGACATATCTAAGGATGATAGAAACGAGCTGCTCTGCTTTTGAAGAGATAATTTAATGACCGTTTGTCTTTCTTGTATTACAGACATCCAGGGTTACCCTGAAGATGGATGTATCATTTACCGACCACTCCCATATAATTGGGAGGGGTGGAAACTGCATAAAGCGAGGTATGGTTAAGTATAATGCTGAATTTATTAACCACTGCAGTAGCTGGTAGAAATATCAATACTCTGTGTTTTTTATCAGTGATATACCAAGTTGTATAACTAGAAGTAATGCAATGGATATGAAATAAAAATAGCTCATTCGCTAACTAAAGAAATGGAGTTCTCAAGTGTGACGTCACAAAAAACGTCATATTTTTAGATTTTTGTACTTTGACCACATAACATAAAAGAACCCCTCGAAATACTCCCATATATGCAAAATCAGTTAAATTTGTCGAAAAGTGGGTGAGATATGGCCAATAGAAGATCCGAAGTTTGCTCGGTTCACTGTTATTTTGGCTCGGTTCATAAAGTTATGAAGTGAGACCAAATTACAGAGGTTTGATGGTGCCAGAGCTTGTGCTCATCTGGTCATATCTCAGCCAATTCGTAATTCCTTTATCTGATTCTGCAGATTTAGAGGTATTTCATGATGCTCTTTAAGATTATGGGAAAAAATTTCAAAAATTCTAAAAATATATTTTTATGACGTCATCACTCGACAACTTAATTTCCGAGAATTATCAAAGAGGATGATGTATCTCAATCAACGTTAGGTACATACGTATGCCGATTGGAACCTTCACTTTTATTTAATGGATATAATCAATCTAGTTAAGGTTTTAAGCAGAGCACATTATAAATCAGTTTATTTAAATGTGGTGAATGTATTTATAACCCTGTTGAAATGAAGTCAAATGAAATCAAATAAAATGAAACGAATTACTATGAATTCTGTATATGGAAATTTCAACAAACAATCAATGAAAGTAGGATTAATTCAGTTATCAAGCTATATTTTTGTAATTCTCTCTAAACATATGATTTCTTTTTTCTATTATTCATTCATCTTACACTAACTCTATTGAATCTCAAGATATGAAGTTGTGAAAACTTTAAAAAAATTTTAACATGGGAACTCAAGCATCTTCAAATTTTTTTGCAACCATATTTATGACGAGAAAATAATTATGTTAACACCTCCTTTTGAAATGTTATTTTTCTCTAGTTATGCAGGAGACAGGATGCCATATACATTTTCCTGATTCAAACAGAACTTCATCAGAAAAGAGCAACCAGGTTTAACTTTTTTTCCATCTTCAGTAAACTCTCATGTTTTAGGTACATTAAAAACCAGCATAAGAACTGAAGTTTGCGAACCTCCAAGCTGATTTTTTGCCTTTTATGTGTGTTTTTCTGTATTCAATTTCCATATGAAAGACATACAGAGAGTCTCAAGATATTGTGTTCTAATCTTACCTTGTATATTTTATCCAAGGGGCATTTCACTCTACGAAAATCTAGTACGCCTTTCAAAGATTTTTTTTCGAGAAAAACCCCCGAAGAATCCCTAAATTCCTATTGTTTAGAAGAACATCGTACGTTGTTTGAAAGGAATGATACGTCCCTCAATTTTATATTTTTTTGTTAACTATTTTTGTGACCCCCCCCCCCCCCTCAATTGTACCCAAACTTTCGCCAATCCTTTGTCATGTGTACCATATACCCTATCTTTTTCTCTTGGTTTTAGCTGTGTGTAGTTTCCACTCTCTTTTAGTAGCTTCTTGCATTTTTTCAAAATTTTCATAGCTTCTGCATCTCCCTACCTTGCCCGTTACTCCTTTCCTTCGAGGCAATCGGCAGATACTAAATTGGCTTATGATATCTGTCAATCAACTAATAGCCAATCATTTAGCGTCTGAGTTGTATCACGCTTATTAACTGGCCAATTGTTGTTTGACAGAGGGCTCAAGCCACTTGTCAGATGGTATCTGTCTAGAGTCTTGGACGCATATCCAAAATAATCTACCTCACCCGTGTTAATTTGTAAGCATTCTATTACTCCGGGTCCTGTAATGTCCCCGCTTTTCTTTTGGATTTCCCTTATGCATGCAATAGCAGAAATTATGGACGGTTAGGGAAAACTACTCAGATAATGTAATGTACCCCAAAATTGGATATTTTGGGCCTAAGAAATAGTGGAGAAAAGGCTACCAAAACATGTAACTCGGAACGTTCACTGCGCTTGCATTATCAAACTTAATTTCCAATTTTGAGAGCCAAGATAGCAATTAATAAGCAAAGTTTCTATTTTCGATGTCCTAGTTTCCGTCAACATTTACCTGATGATCACATTAAGCGTGAAACTCAGAGTTGCCTTGTTTTATACACTAAAATGTAAACAGCTCTGCCTATATGGCATCGAGCACATGATGACAGCAACCTTCGTATACAAGGTAGAAAAACGTGTTGATTTTAACATATTCAAGAGTGGCATGAATTTCTTTCTTTAGGTTTCTATCGCTGGGCATCCTCATGGGGTTGAAGCTGCCCGTAAACAAATCAGGGTATGTTTCTAGCTGTTTTACTTACTACTAGATCGCTACCGTATAGCATTCATTCATTTCTTTCATTCTAAAAGTCGAGCCCATTGTCCTTGGACTTTGATGACTGCACGATTCTCCGCCATTCCTCTCTGGCAAAAGCTATGGAAATCTTTTTAGAAAGGACAAAGAAGGAGGTACGGCATTACGTAGAGGCACAGAGAAAATGTCTAAGAGTTCTGGGAAAATGTGAAAATTTTTGCTACAAAGTAAAGTAGGAGGAATAATTTCAGATAACACACCGTGAAAGAAGACTTGTGAAACCAAAGAAGCTGCTATAACAGCTCTTAAGTGGCTTTTCAAAACGCTTTGAAGAAAAATTTGTGAAGCTTATCTTTTCTTGGACAAATCTTTGAAAGAATATCTAGAAAGGCTGTTTGGCTTTGTTGGGTGCCTTCAAACAAGATTTTTTGCCATGGTTTCCATCTTTGCCTATAATGTTTCTCTTTCAATGCAATGAGCATACATCTCTGAAAGCATATACTTTTGGTTGTGAAATCCGACAGCGATGTGAAATCCGATATTTTGAATTCAACAAAAGATGACATCAAGTGCGGAGTTCTACCATATGCATATAATCGTTTTCCAGTGATTTTTTGGTTGCAATCAAAAAGTTTGAAAACTATCAACATCTTAGTTTCGACATGTGTTTTGAAGCCATATTTTAGAATTGATTATCATAATGAAGCAGACTATTGTTGCTGAAGTGGCTTGCTCTAGGTTCAGATCACATTCTTCTTCAAAATTCAATTCACTGATATTATTAAATAATTTTTTTAAATTTTTCTCTTCCATTACTAATTTTTTTAACTTCATAATTTGTACTCGAGTTTGTGATGGGATATCGTGTTGAAATAAGAATTTAATAAAAAAGAGATAAAATTTAAACACCCCATCTCTGGAAACGCTTATCTTTTTCGCAAAGTTTTAAGAAAAGTAGAAAGCTTGTTTTCATGTTCTTTGCATATTATTCACTTAAGCACCCTTCATTTTGGGGAAAGGAGAAGTGACAGATGTAGTATTCTGGATAGAGAATTAAAAACCATAAAAAACACGACCAAGTCGTTAGATGCTCCAATGAACTTTTTCAGGCATAGTAGATGTTGTATTAAGCTTTATAGACCTTTATGACGGGCGACCAATGCCAATGCCAATTGAACAGAGAGAGTAGGATTCTGAGGAGATAGGCAGAAGATATATTTTAGACATCAAGCTATACTCTCGGCGGTTTCTTTTGGTTCGCAGCCTCTTACCCCTAATTCTGGCGTACCAGTGGCACTGATTGTCAACTAGCAGGCTGCCGGGATTTGGCGTTTCATCGAAGTAAAAATAAAATTGAACAGCAGAGTCAAAAGGAGTGACGTACTGCAAATGCAGTTTGGGATAGAAATACCATATCTAAAAACATGATCTTAATGAAAAAGGGGTGCTAATCTAATCCATGAATCTGAACTTATTCTTAACTTATAGCGTGTTATTCTTTATTGGGAAAATCTAGCATTCATAATTGAGAGTGTCCCAACCCGCCTCTCAGTGTGCCGTTGGCTCTGATTGTCATCTGGTAGACTTCTGGCATTCTGTTAAATTGCTTTCATTCTAGGAACTGCTTCCGATTGTTCTCATGTTTGAAGTGCCACAAAATTGCTTGGCTGTACCCGATAGCACTTCTACAGCAATCCAGAGTATTGCGCAAAAATACAATGTTAGCATCACTTTCAAGCAGGTATGAAGGAGTTAAGAATCAATGCTAATTTTTAATCTTTTTACTAAACGATGATATTTCATTTGTATTTGGTTTTTTGAAAAAAAACAGCCAATCTGGGCTGATCTTCCTGCTTTCCATTAACGTTTTTTGTCAGCAATTTCTTTATCAGCCTTTTTAACTTTTAACCCATTGGTCCCTTTTTGATGAAATTATTACTGTTTATATTTGTGGGGAGAAAACTTTGGTGGGAAGGAAACGAAAATTTGAAACTTTCTCGTTTGAAATACCATGGATTTCATTATTTTCCTATATTTTCCAATATTTTCCGATATCTACGAGATTTCTCAAAAAACGTAGAACCAGAACCTCTCCTCTACATTTCTCGCAATTTGATTGGCTTAAAAGGACGGGATATCCCACTTGCGCTATTCCTTTCGCAGCCAATCAAGATTATACGCTTATGCTTATAACACATGTTATATTTTTAGCGACCACGTGCTTACGGCTTCATTGGAACAGTCAGAGGTCTACACTCGGACCCTATCGCAGTAAGGGTATGTAGCTAAACTGCATTAAGCTTTAAGCTTTAAGCTATATATCTTTAAGCCTGTTTTTGAGAGATTTCGGGTATTAGCAACCAGGAAGACCTGCACTCAAAGAGGGCAACCGAGGCAAAGCGCGAAGAAAAAGGGCAAAACAATAGTAAAATGATCAAAATGCTCAATTTCGTGAGGTCAAGGGAGGTCACTGTCCCCTCCCCCCTGGCGAATGCGTCCTTTATGACATCGTAAGCTGGTGTGGTTTTTTTGCATCTTCTGAGGCATTTCCTATAATGCTAAAATTTTGGATAAACACACGTGCACCATTATACCGTAACACCCTTCAAAAAATCCCGGTTCTAGCAGCCTGGTCAAACGGTCTGGTCTTACAGCACAGCCCAAAAGTCTGTTTGCTCTCACAAAAGCACAAATAACCAACTTACATCAGGATCTGCTTCTTTGATTTATGCCGTTAGTTATTTAGCTGGATGTCAAGTGACCTAAAAAGCATCCTTCACCTCAATATGCTTCGCCCTCTGTCTGAAAGGTATATATCAGTTGTTTATAGTGCATGAGTTCTAATCTGAAAGATATTCATATAACATTAGCTATTTTATCTTGCTTTAGGATGCTGTTCTAACATTGCTTGAGCACCTAACGGGAACTTTGCCGGTACGTGCCTTTTTGTAGCTCAAACTTTACATTATTGCAACGTTCAATCTTATTGTAAAGCTTGCTTTGGTATACAAGCAATTTTGTTGAAACTGCCCTGTTGGCCTCCCTGGATGTTTAATTGCGTAGTTATTCCATATACAGACTTCTTGTGTTTGAATTGGAGGGGAGTTGCAATTGGAAATTGCCCAGTCAAGGGCGGATCAAGAGAAAAATATGACCGTTGCAGGTTTGCCAAAAAATTAGGACGGTTGTCAGGGTGTCACCTGCAACCAAGGCTGCGTCCTCTCTTGATGCAAATAACCGAAGTGTAAGGGTTGAATATCATGAACAACTAAAAACAAAGGTTTCCTTTTTGAACAGCAGCATAAGCAAAGTATTGAATTAATATATTAAAACTTACGTTTTTTTCTACAAAGTAGAGTTCTATGTTGACGGCTCTAAGCAGACAATGTTCACAGAAACCTCATATGAAAATCACATGTATATGAAAATAAATTTGTCTTTGTTGAGATGGCCCTTATGGATTTCAAAAAAGTAGAATAACTACAAAAGTTTATTAAACACTGCAAACTGAATAGAAATGGCCGAATTAATGAAGCGTTGTGGCTTTTCAGCAATTGTATTTCGCGAGGAGAAAATGAAATCATAGAAATTACAGATAACGTAAACACACCTCATTTTTTGAGGTTTCCCAGCTCTTTTAAAGCTGCGAAAGGCCATTGAAGTTATGGTGACCTTCAACCCTATATTAACTCGAAGCATCAATGTAGCATTTATCCGTTAAGAGCTTAACGTGTACAAGATGTCGTGAACTAACTGTCAAAAGGTCGTCTACCCGAGAGAACGTTCACGAAAAAAAGTTTTCATTATCATTCTAACACAACTCAAATTTTCTCTTAATCTTTTTATTGGAGGACTATTACTTGTGATCGTAAATTTAAATCGTCTATGTTTGTACATATTTTCTTTCTCGCGCTTTTGTGCAAATAATAGGTCGGTTCTAGCTGCAACTGTGATGTTCACGCTTAATACAACCCTACTATCATTCTCATTTGTATTTTATCCAACAACCGTTCTTCGTTAGGTTCGTCGCCTGCCATTCTCTAATCAAGTTGTTCCAACTATTACTCGTAGGTGACTGTCCCAGTTACGACACAAATAGAGATTGATTGCAAGCATCATACCTTTATAATCGGGCGAAATGGCAGCAACATAAAGCAAATCATGCAACACACAGGAGCAAGGTATGAGTCATAATAATAATAAAATAAAGTAATAAAAATGCACTTGTTATGACCGGGCAGAAACGGACAACAAAAACAGACATGTCCTTGCGCACTTTCCAATTCTCCGACTAGAGCAATCACAGTTTTCCAATTTATTGATACCATGACATGTCATCACATGACGAGTGCAAGCATTACGTCATTGATTAGCATTGCCTAATGACACCATAAGAAAACACATGATTTTAAAGATGTGCCATCTAACATGACATAAATGCGCACTGTCAGTTTCTTACGTTACACTTATCGAGCGCTAAAATCTATATACCTATATTCAAAGCGCTGAACAAATTAGTGTAAAAAAGTCTTTAAATTACAGCAAGAATAGCTAAAAGAAATGTTATTCATATATTAAAATAATTATCAAATAGATACGTTTTTAACCTTGTTTTGAAAGTATAGACGCTCTGAGATCATCTAAATTTCAACAGGTAGTTTGTTCCAGAGCCTAGGGGCTGCAGTACAAAATGCTCTGTCCCCACGAGATGTAAATTTTGTCCTCGGAACTATTGACGCCACAGATAATGGCTTTGAATGTTTTTGTCGACTAGTTAGCAATTTTTTGCCAAGAATTTTTTGCCAAGAATTTTTTGCCAAAATAGCTACACTCATTTTTCATAAGAAACTAAGCTCAAGATAAGCATTCATTTTCTTATTTTTTTGTTGATTTCAGTGCTTCTTAAGTGTTTCCTAAAAGTTTTTTGTACACCTAATGATTAAGTGTTACTTTTTTTAAACACAAGAACACGCGATAACATGAAATAGAACACCTTATAGACGGTTTCTGATCAAAAATTGAGTTTAAGCAAACAAATAAGTAGGTCTCTCCGCCGTAAAATTAGTTTTTTTCTTCAAAAGCACGTGGCTTGTTCTCATCAACAGAATTATGGTTAGCTGTGCGTAATGCGATTAAGATCCCTTTCTTATTGTAGACTGTCACAGTTATTGATACCCAATTCCAGTGCTAATGGGATTTTTAATGACTCTTAAAGACTTATTGCTAACAATGAGCCATTGCGCTACGCAAGCATCCCAAGCAGCAAAGGCCCATTGTTAGCAATTAGTCTTTAAATAGTAAACGAGTGCAGAACATGTGCAACCGAAGAAATTCAGCTTCATCAAAGCACGTGATTCAGTACATACTGCGGTTTTGATGATGTAACAGTTGCGTTTAGGTTCGGCAAGGAGAGAGACAAGATAAACAGACTTCATTTCGTTTGGATATTCATAGATCGATCATTTCATTAACTCTCAGCATAATTCATATGTTAAAACGAAACTAAACGACTGTTGTAATTGTACGAAAACATGTTTTTCATCCGAAATTGTTTACAGCTTCTTCAAGCACGTTTAACGATTCATTCACTGTTGTATATGGCTTCAACGTCATGTAGTGTGGGAATGTTTTATCTGATGAGATCTTGAGCGTCAAATACGCAGAGATGCAGCCTATTTCGCCGATTCGCTGATTTGCTGATTCGCTTTCGCCAAGTCGCGCGACCAGAGCGAAACAAGTGGAAACCGCCCTTAACAGATTTGATATCACGTGACTCTTGACAATAGATTGGGGAAAAATATAGCGGCTTGTTCGGATGACACTGCATTTATTGATACCGCCCGTTGTAGAGACGCTGCACCCGTTTCTTTTGTGGACAAGTCAGAAGCCCACCTATGAGCACAACCAGCTGGACTTTGCCAACTTCCTTTGGACTTCAGCTCTATACTCTTTATTATAAGAACAGTTTCATAAGAACACGAGCCTCAAAATTTGTCAAAAGTTAAGAACGATTTAAGAACAAGCTGAGACTGAGCTGTTGTAAAATGCAATTTTGAACAACGTCTCAAAAACTAGGATTTTTAGCAATGTGTGGGTGCTTTTTCGGTGAATTTTTAAACTTGTAGGCAAATGAAGGTTGTCTCAGTCACTTTGTTGGCGAATAAGGCCTGGACACCTCCTTAGAGCGAAAAAGCTAGCAATAGCACTGCTTACACCCTCTTAATTTAAGGACAAATTAAGAACAATCCAGCCTCAGATTTTCGAAAATATTAAGAACAGTCAGCCTGAACTTGATTTTACCGGTTCTTATAAAAAAAGAATATTGTTCCGTGTTCGGTAGACCTTAATCACGTTGATAGGTTGTCTGAATCACCTCTTCAATGAAAATTGTACCTCGGTTTTTTTAGGTATAATGCTCATAAGTATATTGACTTGCCTAGAAACAGAAATTTTCTTCCACTGAAAGTCTCTTCCACTGAAATTAACAAGCCGGACTCCTGGAACCAGATTTAAGACAGGCTCTGTATTGTCGTGATGTTTAACATCAAATTCTCTAACGGGTTTATCTTTCGCTCAATGGTGGAATAATTGTACGAAAACATGTTTTTCATCCGAAATTGTTCGCAGCTTCTTTTTCACAGCTTCTCTTTCACAGCTTCTTTTAGCACGTTTAACGATGCATCCACTGTTGTATATGGCTTCAACGTCATGTAGTGTGGAAATGTTTTATCTGATGAGATCTTGAGCGTCAAATACGCAGAGATGCAGCCTATTTTGTTATGAGCAATCATCAGTTTGCTCGTTATATTTGCTGATCACATCAGATTTACTGCATTCTCAAGTTTCCCTTTTTATTCAAGAATATTTTAAAAACTTCTAAATACCATCTAGATGTCACCTTCTAGACAAGTATCTTCCACTGAGTAAATTTTTTTGCTTTTTCATTGGTATTATTCCATTTTAGTATACAATTCCCTGATCAGAATGGCATTCAAGGGAAGAAAAGCACCGTATTTATAACTGGCCCTATTGAGTCGGCAATCACCGCAAAAATACAGCTAATGGTAGGGTGAATTCATTTCATTCAATTCAATTCAGATTAATTCAATTCAATTGACGTTTGTTTACAACGATTGGCTCTTCCAGTATTATGTAAGCCTTGCCCATCTTCGTAAGGTAAACTAGTGATTAAACGTGAGTCTGACATGTCTTGTTTGCTAATGAAGACTTTCAATGGTCAAGATGAACACACCAACCAACAGTCGATTGATGGATAAGAAGGTTGAAATTTTGTAAAGCTTATTTTTGTCGTGAGGTTCTTGTGTGTTTTAGCAAATTCGAGCATTCGCAATTCTAGCAACCTGAATTTGTTTAAGTTGTAAGGCTTCAAGGATTTGCATAATTTTTAAATTTTAACTTTACTTATCTAAAATGTATTTGAAAGGGGCGTCTTCATTTAGTAATCGTATGTTGGATTCTTATTGCGTGCCTAAAAGATAGGGTTCTTGTCATGTACTTAAAAAATGGGGAATTTATTGCGTGCTGAAAAAATGAGGGTCTTTTTGTGAGCGTGTTGAAGTTTAACGAACAGTTGCCTCATTGCCTTTTAATGTTTTTTTGCTTATTCACTGTCGAGTGAAAAGATTCCATTCGCATATTTGTAGTGATGTTATGGTAGAAAATTTTAGATATATATGTGAACACTTGCTAGAGGTTTGTTGCATTGAAGTTATGCATTGCAGGTTAAGGATCTGAAATGTTGCCTTTTTGCAATGCGTTATAAATAAATATCCCCAGCTAAGTAGAGTACCCCCTTGATTCAAGTCAATGACTTTCAGACTAGCGTCCCGACAACCTGACTATTTTTTCCCTTAAAAACAAATGTCTTTGTTGAAATATATCTTATTTTACACAAATTGCAAGTTAGTCCTATTTTCATTGCAGGAATTCCTGCCTCTTGTCCTAATGTTCGAAGTGAAAGATGACGAGGATGATTTAGTTTCAGATACAAGTAAGTTATATGCTTTTAAAAAGATTTTGCTTGATATAATTTCCGGCCTGGAAACTTCTCTGCGCTCCTCCGCCCTTCTCTGCGCTTAAACATGTTAGCATGCAAGTGATAATGGCCTATGTTCGTCGTTATGCTTCTTGAGCACCGCTTGTGGCGGCCATTAATGTTGAGAGTTCACTGCAAACTTTAAATGTATATTTCCTCTACTTTGAGATTTTGAAGAATTGATATTTATTTTATATTTATTTTATATTTGTAACTCAGCTAGCATGAACAAATAATATTTCTAAGTAGGTCGCAAGAAAACCGGGGAGCTTTGTAATTACACAACCAAAACCGGTGCACTTTGAATCGCACTTCTCTACACTCTTTTCGTTTTATAAGAATATTATTTATAAAAATTTCGAGGTTCGAAATTGGTGAAATTTAAGAATTAATTAAGATTAATCGTCGAGCTCAAAGTTCACCAACAGCATGAATTTTTATTTATCTGCGAATTTTGAGCACATGAGACAAGCTTGACTTCCACACAAACGAGTTGAGAAACACCCATCACCATTTTTATTTTGCTGTATGTTTCATTTCCGAAAATTTTTTCATGATGAATAAAGATAATAAGATTTTTTCCTGATTCTTACCAAATTTTACATTTTGTTGGATCTCATCAAGAATTAAAACATGCAACAAAAAACTAGGGAAAAATTGATAATGTTTCATTTATTTTTAATCATTCCCATTTCTAGCTAATGGTTTTGTGTTATGTTGTAAAAGATTTCATGCGTTTGTAAATTATGTATGTGCTTATTAATTACGAGCATTTTAATATATGCATTTATCAGACAAAGCCATATCTGTATCAAAGATTAGAATCAATAGAATCGACCTATGTGGCAGCATGTGCTCCCGATAGAGTGATGGGTTTTTGTAGAAACCACGCGTTGATGAATTTGTGAATTCATAAATAGAAGTGTGGAGAAAGTGAGAAGAAATGGGTTGATAACACAGCAGCAAGCCAAATATTCAAGATAACTTGATATGTTGTTTTCATTGTAGTAGCTTTTTTGGTGTTGACTTACCGAGATTCTTGTGACAAATATGTAGTTTGTGGCCTGTCACCCGATATTTGCGTTTCGTGTTGAATGTCAAGGCATATCTGCTATCATAGCCTACAAAACTGTTTAGTAAATGGCTTTAATTTTAGAGTCGTTTAGTTTGTTCCCTGATCTGAATAGGTACCACAAATTGATTTAGATAGTTATTTAAATAGGTCTAGACAGAAGGAGCTCGTTTTCTCTATTGGACTTCAGTGGTAAATTTCTAAAGGCACACGGTACTGATTGGACAACTATACCATTCATGTTCTTGCGTTTTTCTAATTGGCCTATTTCAATCTACAACTGATTGTTGTTCTTTCGGACCCTTCTTTTGACGTTTTATAATCTCAGCTTTGTGAGACGAAAAAGCGTTTAGTATCTTGTAAAATGTTTGCCATTTTCGAAGCCATCTTTAAATAAGTATTGGTGCGGGTCTCGATAACCATGCTTAAAACACCATGATTGCCTAAATTATAACCATTCTTAAAACTTCACTCTGTTTTGTAGGACTGATCAATAAGCTGATTGAAGAGCTCGATGTTCTTATAAATGTCAAATCGAAGCCACGACAGGGCACCAAAGTAAGTCTTTCTCTCTTCATTAAATGCCATCACTGTGGCGGAGGTCGTTGGCCGAAAAGCCAATAAATAGGGCCTTAATCGCTGCTACCCATGTCTGTCGTCAATTTCTGATCCTTTTGCAAGCCACCATCCTTATGGTTTATTTTTATTCATATGCTCAAATATATTTGGCAAAGGCTTGCAATGTCTTGTCTGGTTTCGTCGTTCGTTTGCAGGAACATTTCTTTCACTATTTACCACAAGAATGCTTTTGTCAAATTTGATTCTGATGTACAAACACGTGTCGTTATTAACAGCGTGTTTATGCTGTGTGGACCTTATCTTTTCTGATATGTTTTTCGAGCTTCTTTGGAAACGGATTTTTAAGGCAGTTAGGCCTCGCACTTGGCAGTGTTTTATTGTTTTTGTTCTTCTTGTTGTGTAAATTCTAACATTCTGATCGACTCTTTCTATTAAAATGACATTTTTGCATAATTTTTCTGTTCACTAAAGCATCGCAAGCAACATGCGACAGTATTGTACTTGAGTTGTGCTATTGTGGTGATGTACAGTCGACTTCCCCATGTCGAATAACTGATATTTTGAGCATTCGCTATCTCGAACGATTTTTTCATTTGCTCTTTAATTGAAGTCAGTATGCGTTCAAGTGTAAAAAAGCCACTCGAGCAGGAGAGGGTTTGATGAAATTAGAAAATTGCATAAACGCCACCAGCGAGAGCAAATAGACATACCCTTTAAAGAAATTTTGCCTGCGCACCAGACTATGGGTCTGAGGTGCAGTTTATCTTTTTGCATCTATCTTTTCATTTCTGTAATCTGAAAAAAACTAACATCTTTCATTGCCCCTATCTAGTCGATCATCGTGAAAGGTATCGAGAAAAATGCGCATAATATGCACCTCACGAGATGCACTCTAGTAAAAGAAGACTTCAGTCTGGCTCCAATGATTTCCGTACCACTTCCAGCACCACCAATGAAGTTGGTCAATCCGTACTTTTACTCGCCTAGAATTGGCATACCAATGCCTGGAAATGAATTCCCGACGGCCCTTCTTGCTCCAGCCATGAACGGGAAACTCCAAATCCCGTATTCGGTGAACACAAACAACAATGAAATAATCACCTCAAGCCCGCTTGGGAGTCCACTGCAGTCAAACTCTACCAGTCCGAACTCGGTATCACAGAACGGCCCGCCGCTAAAGCTTACGGTCAACCCGGTTGTAAGCCAGTACAACCAATCAAAGTCGCCGAATTCGCAGGCTTCTGGTGAATTGCAGAAAAGAACTGAGATACCTATCTCTGTAACGAGTGATAAATTGATATCCAGTGATTTGGTGCGCACAATGAGTGTGGACTCTTGTTCAAGCACGACGACCACAATAATGATGGTAGGTTTTTATCACAGATAAGACCAGGTTTTTGTCACAGATAAGACCAGGTTTTTGTCACAGATAAGACCAGGTTTTTGTCACAGATAAGACCAGGTTTTTTTCACAGATAAGACCAGGTGTTTATCACGGGTAACACCAGGTTTTAATGCTGGGTGTGTTCAGGGATGGTTATGCCCCCATACCAATATTAAAAGGTGACCACTATTAACCTTTTGCTTTTATCTTTTGAGCCACTTCTCTTCAGTTCATGTCCTTAAACTTCCTGATGTAACGTAACTTAATGCTTATATGTGCAAAAAGACCAGGTGTATGTTGAATAGGAGCTTTTTATGAGCAAAAATTCTATAAGATGGACCAGTGTAAAAGCAATGAATGAGGGAAATTATATACAGTACTAGTTAACAGGTATTCAGATATGCTATCAGGTAAACTGCGTGAAACTTGCTGAAAAGATTATGTTGCCATATTTGATCCAGTCCTAAAAAGTCTTTCTTGTAAAAAGTTTCTTTCAATGTGTATTTTGCATTTTCATTTCTTTATATCAGTAATTCTACTGATCAACATTTGCTAAGGCCCACTAAAGATTTTAATTTTAAAATGGTGGTGTTAATCAATATATTCTGTCGCAGGCATAAAAGGCAGTAACAGCACTGGCCATCTCAGTCGCATGAACGGAGAAGCTTCATCACCCACAGTTCGAAATGAAAGCTTGGAAAAATCAGGAGGCCCAGAAAAATGTAAGCTTGCTATTTTAGATCGTTAAAATTATTGATAATGTAAATAATGCACATGACATCATATAAACAATGGAAATACACATAAGCCTGCAATTCCTGTTCCTTCCTTTCATTTATCTATAGTGTTATTTGTAAAATGACAAGGTTCTATTAAAAGTAACAGACACCCTACCTCTTCTCCTTAACAGTGTTTTGTAAAGTCAACAATCATAGCAGGGGTGGATAATTCGGGAAATAGATGGTCTTCGGTGGGAGACCCGCAGCTCTTTCAATGGTCTCCCGCATATGGCATGTGGTTTCCCAAATGGGGACTCAGGCGACGGTGGTTAGCAATTCCTGTAAAAATATGGCCGCCCGGCGGTTACCCTGTACAACGATATAAAATCTCCCAGTCTCCCACAGATATAAACCGGTCGTCCCGGGTGCACGGGAGAAGCAGTCTCCCGCAGATATAAACCGGTCGTCCCGGGTGCGCGGGAGATTGAATTGTCCATCCCTGTATAGTAGCTACCTGGCTGACATCAATTGAAGAACATCTAAAATGAAAAACCAGAGGCTAATGAATTTTTGAAGATCTTGTGTAACGTAAACAAGAAGTTTTGCAAGCTACATTTGTACATAAAGTTTGCAAATATCCTAAAGCCTTCTAAGAGAAACAAATCAAGTCAGATTTTCCATCCTTTTGCAGTTGATTTTATTTTTGATGATCCACTAAGGTTATATCGCGTAAGCAACGTTAATTTAGGTCTTTACATTCTCGTTACCCAAATATTTATTTCTTGGAAAATGTAGTATGATATTCTAAGATACATTACGAACCTGCGCAGTGGCGTATTTAAGGGGGGGCAACTAGGGGCAGTTGCCCCTCCCTCACCGAGTTGAAGAAAGTCTTTGGAAATTGTGCGCCTCTTTAGAAGAATGAGAATCAGCTGAAAAAAATTTTTTGTGATTCTTGTGAACTTCCTTACAAAGTGAATACAGCGTACACTCGTCCTCAATTTCTGAAAATTTTTCAGCGCCCCCGTTACCAACTGCCCCTCCTTCAAATCTTTTCTGGATCCGCCCCTGAACCTGCGAACCTGCTAACTTAGTTATTGAAATGATAACACCCGCCCGCCCCTTCCTAAAAGAACTTAGATTATATCTACACCCTTCAATGGAAAGCTATACTTTCCTTAAAAATCTCACGTTTTTGTTACCAGTATCAGCACTGAGAAAGCCAAACAATGGACCTTTCACGGATGCACTGGTAAGTCTTGTATTGTTAAAATCTCTAAAATCATGCAACCCCACATTGTTTAGCCTGCTGATAAGGCTCCGATTTTGAAAATGCAAAATATTTAAGAGTGATATAATGAGTTATAGGAAATTGAAAAGTGCATTTCCAAGGATAGAGTTTTTTTGAGTCAATTTTGCACCTCCCATTTACAACTGTAGTTAAACGCAGGTGTTGAGAAATTTGTTTTCGAAACAGCATGTCGTATGTACAGACTCGTTTGACATATAGTGGCGGCTATTTCGTTAAAGTTTTAACTTATCCTCATTATGTATATAGACATACTATACCTCTGTCTTTATATGAGAACCAAAAAGGAACAGAGGAAAATACTCTGAAAATTCCTTTATGAAAAGACGGCAAAAAGATTTTGGGAATCTTGTAAATGTGTTTTGTAACGCTATTGGTTTCTAAGCTAGCGATTTCGTTGACCCCTATAAAGTCGAATACCTGAAATTTAATGTTAGTCTACCTTTCTGCTTTAGTCCCAGTTGTCAAGCATTGACTCAGTCATCGATTATTTGTTTACAGATTTATCGTACTTCACATTGTTGTGATCTTTAAACATGTAAAGAGAATAAAAATTGTTCTTTAGACTGGAAAACAGCAACCGTAACGGCTACACCTTGATTTATAATGTCAGCCTTATTTAATAGAAAGCAGTTTGTATAAAAAAGTCGAAATTTTTCATAGAATTAATCCTAAAATGAGAGCTACTAAAATTTTGATTGATGTTACAGAGTATTGTCAAAAACCTCAAATTAGGATATCTGCCTTAACTTTATTTATTTACTTTTTTTGTTTCTGCAGAGCAAACGAAGATTCATCAGTGATACTAAAGAAAAGGTTTGTTAATCCACAATTTAGAAACCATTTTGAAAGTTTTTCGTTGTAGTCTTAATGAAGCATAACACTGTTGTCTCTTCTGAACAGTCACAAAAAATCCTATGACAAACCATTACTGCTCATCTTTGCTAGGCAGAAAAAGCAAATCAAAAAATTGGAAATTGTACTAAGCTGAAATTTATGGAGCTTGGTGCTCCTAAGTTATGTGATCGGGCAGCAGACAACCAAAAGAACAAGACAACTATAATCTATAGGTCTTTCTGTAGGTTTTATCTTCGGTAATACTATTATAGATCGTTTGTGCGTAAAGATAAGTAGAATGAACGACATATTGAGGAGTATCATACATCTGGTAAGCCAACCCATAATTATCGCAGTCATCTGTCGCAGCAACCATGCAATGTTGGTACCATAGTCTAAGTTCGAATTTTTGCTTTTTGAATAGTTTGGACATTAAAGATTAAAATGTAGATATTCATTATAACTACGATTATGGCTGATGGTTTGTCTGTTTTTTTTCGTCGTAGATTCAGATGCCCGTGGGATCTAGGTTCTCACCAACAGCTGGTCAAGAAAGTTCGCATTCTTTGGGTAAGTTTAATTGCATCACTAGCTTTTTGTCGGTGTCAGCCTTGAGGTTGCAAGGCTTGGTATAATCTAAACGATTTGCAACTAAGCAGCTCAAACTAGTCGGTGAGATGAGATGAATGAATTTCTTAGACTTTCTTGTGAGCGCTGTCCAAAAATATCTGTTTGCTATCCCAGCCAAGTTTAGGTAATTTAAATCTAATTTTAAACCAGTGATTCCATTGATCAGTGTTGTTTCGAATACATTTAGAGAGATTTTCTCGTGTAAACTGTCGTCTGTTCAAGATTATTTTTGAGACAATTCTTTTGAATTTTTGACTGACTGTGTTGTGGTCTGTGAAAAAGTATAGTTGAATATGCTAAGAGATGTAGCATTTTTCTGCAAAACAGCAGGTTGCTGTGAAAAACCTCATGCTTTTTAAACCAAACTATACATATCTGAAACCGCAGCTCTTTACAAACCTATTTCACTCTATGCTTTATTTCGGATTAAAACCCGTCAATACGTCTAGCCTATTCTGTTTTAGCGCAAAAAATATAATTCCAGCTCCATTTCAGCTAAGGCCTGATTTTCATATTAGAAAAACGATTTTTAACTTAAACAAGGTCATCTTTCAATACATTTTTTTTGCATGTTCGTTGAAGTTCATATTTATAAAAGGTAGCTGTGTTTGTTATTGTTCAATTTTTGAATTTGCAGCCCTCAATGGCTCTTGGAACAGATCACGTCCTACAATAGAGGTGCTCGGTGGAGTGCGAAACGCCCCATTCTCGTAAGATTAATTTCTTGTCATTTTTCATGCTTTATGGATAGCACTTGGAAACCTCTTCCAATCTGAGTGTGGAATGTCTTCCTCTGTCATTGACTGGAAACCCGTTGGTGAAATGCTAGTCCTATAAGTAATCTGGATTTATTATCTGATTTTAAGAAAGTCTCAAAAGGCATGCCATTTCCCTCCAGATCCCACCTCCAATTTAACAAGTTTTATTTAAGAATATGATGCTTATGTATGACAATTGAGCGTAAGAAACAAACTGGGAAAAACTGTCCTCTGCTGACTTTTCTATAGTTTTCCCAACATCACTATGGGTATATTTACTTTCTCGTTCAAGTGGTGTAGAAATTTAATAGAATTTGAAGGTATTCTTAAATGGCCTACAGATATACTTGTTCATTGATTGTTCCCTGTTTAGATAGTATGAAATATAAGTTTGTAATCTTCAATTATATCTCTTTTTCTGCAGCGGAAATGATTCTATTTCACCTGACCCAGTCTTAAGCGATTCGCAAAGTGAGCTCAGTATGAGTGGCAGTCTGTCTCAGACATCGAATTTGTAAGTGGCTTTCCTAAATTGCATGGAACTACGTGGATTCTCTGTATAAATTAGTCGAATTTTGGAAACATTGTGGTGGCTTTTTTGCTTTGCATGTTTAGTAGCCAAACCAATGACTTGTTAGTGACAGGACAGCACATTACGTAGCCAAAAATGGCTTGTTTACTTATAAGACACCAATTTTTTACAAGCCATGTCATTTAAATCGAGAAACTGAGTTTTCACCACACTCGGGGTTGTGTTTTTACCGTAAATTTCCTTCAACAATCTAAGAAACAATTGCAAGCACCCATTACAAATTGGGACTAGGCTGGTGAAGTTACAGAATTTGGAACGGTTGTTAACAAACCTTGAAAGTTAGGCCATTTTTAGAGATATATCCTATATATTATGCTTTTTCTTTATTTGTTTTTGAAATGACTGCTTTGTTCATAGTTTCGTTTGTCTGATTTCGTTATCAGGTTCAATCAAATTCCGTTTTCCTGAATGCTAAAATTATAATACGAAGAATGCCATCTATGTGATAATTTAGACGATATTGCGTGGTAATTTTTTGAGGTGGCTACATTTAACATCTTTGACTATGTACTTCTTTTATTTTCTTTTAGAATCGATCGACTACCATTCAGAAAAAAGAAGTACAATGTATGTAATTTTATTTACGTTTTAGAACTTATTTTTAGAATGAATAGATGAAATAAACAATTAAACAAACAGGTTGATTCTTTAAGAACAAAACTTAGAAATAAGAGCTCCAGAGTATTGTAACAAATCAAATCTTGAAATGTTCAGTTTAAAACAAAACGTAGTTTGAAAGTGATAATCAAAATCAATTATTGGTTGCTATTATTCTTACATAAATTGTAAGCCAAATACATAATAGAAAACAATTAATCGCCAAAATTAAAAGAGGACTTTAAAAAATGATGATTCGAGCATTCTTCATTTCTTGCTGATAAAATAATGTATCATTGTGCGATTATATTCTAAACAACCAAAGTTTTCGCTCTAAAAAATACTGATTAAGGTTTAATTATCTTCAATTTGATGTAAAGAGCCTTCATTTTTTCACCAAGAGATGCACACATTGTTATTTCGTTTTTTTTATTCTGTTAATATAAACGAAACTTCTTTACCGCAAGTTCGGTGTAGCATAGTTCAATTTATAGAAAAGATATATGTTATGTTTTATAGGCTGCTGCAATCAGGCTTGTTTTGTAAATACTTTATAGACATAAACTTTGATGTATATTATGCTTACGATGCACGTAGCATTCAAAGAAGAAAATCTCTCAAAAGTATCTGCAAAATAAGATGATGTTGTGTTGCATAACAAAAAGAGTAAGAAAGAGACATGAACGTCTTTTTAAATAATTAATTGGTTTTCTCGACAGATTGCCGATTATGAGCTCAAAAGACAAATGGCATCAAAAGGTACGTTGCTATTCCATATGGCTTTTTTTGTATTATTTTTAGCCCGTAACATCTGGTTGTGTAATTGCTATTAATCTGTATATGTTTTAGCAATTTTTGAATGAATGGATCTTGTGAAATTCTTGCTTATAAGAAATTTTGAGAATGTTTATAAGATGGTTTCTCAGTTTTAAGGAATATAATTTAACTGATGGAATAAAATTTTGTTAAAAATTACTATAAAGTATATATTTTACTTGACCTTTCCATCCGTAGCCTTTCAATCTTAGTTAATTACAATTTAAGTGCATTTTAGTTGGTTAAGTTATAAGATTTTCTATTTCCACTTACTAGATTTTTCAGTTTTCCACCTTTGCATTTTTATACAATAAAAGCAATTTTATTCTTGTCTAAACTTCGTATAAAGCGATAAAAAATTGAAACACATCGTTTAATGATTATTAAGAATTTTTAAAGACGATTAATGGTCTAAACTGCTGGTTTGTGGCGAAGTATACAGAGAAACCTACAGTTGTTTTGTGTCATACATTTATCTTTTGTTGAAATAATTTCCCTTCAAGCAAAAAATACTAACAAATGACTATTCTTTTTACGATGTTTTCTCGAAACACCTGCTCGTATTTTATAGCGATGACCAATGAGACTGATTACGAAGAGGTTCGAATGCCTACTGGAACCTGGAGTGGCTTTGGTTTTTCGAAATCGATGCCCGAGTCAACACTTAAAGACTTGGTATGTTATTCTTGGCATAATCGCAAGCCTGAAATCATACAAAGTGGTTGTAGAGAATATATCAATTAGAAGTCGTTGTAGGGGTTTGCAAGGGTTTTTACCTCAAAGCCATTTGCTCGGCGGGGAGACTAGTGGCAAAAATCTCAAAGTAACTAATTTGAATCACCAGAAAATTCATGACATAAATTTATTGATTGGCTGCAAAAATTCACTGAAATTAGATTGGCTTTTTAAAACAAGTTTAAAAAAAGTAGTGAAACTTTTTCTTACCAATTTATTGGCTCGGTATTTCGTTTCAGCTGACTTGGGTACCTCTACGTAAGCAAAGGTTCTGTTATTCTTTTAGAACTCTTCTTAACCTTAGTTTAAGTGTCATATGTTGGGCGACTCTAGTTTTTTTAAATGAATTTCTCACTTGTTTTCGTAGCCTGTATAATGTAAAGATTTGATTCCGATCCTAACTGACTGTTACTTCTAATTACTATACCCAGGGATGCCGGAACGACCAAGGGGCAAGGGGGCAGGCTTGAAAAATAGTTTAAAGGGCATTTGAGAAATAATGCCTTGCTACTTACAATCTTTTCGTAACTGTCATTTTGTTTCGATTTTCTGTAGGAATCGTGAAAATCTGCTAATTTTTGGCATTAGAAAAAATCTTTACAAGTTTTGAGCCTTTTCGTCGGGAATAGGGCAGAGCAGTCAGAATTTGATCTTTAAATTAGTTGGTTTTAATTAGCTTGAGTATGCATAGCTAGAAATTGTACCAATTTTAAATATAACAAAAAAGAATAACGTTTTCATTGGCATGTCATCCAACCCAATCCTCATGTTGCCCTTGCAATAAATATAATTACCCCCCCCCCCCCTGAATTAGATAATACTGATGCTTAACTATGGAACGTTTTCTCGTAGTGGTTAAAGACAAACAAATCACAGACGAGCAAGTATTCATTAGTCGAGAATTTTCAGGTGAGACTTCTCTTTCTTAACTCGTTGTTTCCTATTCAAAGTCTGTGACATTCAAAATTGCTGAAAATGTTTTGATCTAGTTCTCTGATTGATTTTTCCCAAATTTGTAAAACTATTTAATTGCGCATATGACGAGATCAAAGAGCATCTAATTGTAATGGAAAAAAAGGAATATATGGTTTTTAAATGAGTCTCCTTTCGGCAAGCACAAGTGTATTGCACTGTTTTGCCCATTATTCCCCGTAAAGAAATGCCCACAAGGGCCAAAAATCTAGAGAATTTTCTTACAGTTCTTTAAAAGAAAAATGTTACCAGATTTTTTAAAGGAAACCACAGACAATAGTTTTGCTTGTAGACAGAACATGAAAAAGTTCTCGAATCGTGAAAATTTCTGAAAATATTGTAAAGGTTTATAGATTTATGATTAAAGTTTCCAAAACAATAATGGAACAAAAATGTAATGTACGTTTTGTTCTAATTTAAGCTTTTTAAGTTGATGAGGCCACCCTGCTTGAAATAAGGATGATGGAAATATTCACATAAACGCGATGTCGTATAACCATATACTTTTCAGGATTAATACTGACACGTTTTCTTCAAATATTTGACTTTTCTAAAGCTCCGTTTTCGATAATTCCAGCATTCTCCATCTCAGTCGCTGAATTCGTCTGCCTCTTCAAATGAATCCAACCATTCAAATGCGTCATCATCATCATGCTCTTCGTTCAGTGGCCCCGAAAACATGTCATTAAGAAGAACGCAAAACAGTGGTCCACCACCTGGACTTGAAGGGGTATGCCTTTTTGATTCACTTTGTTTTCCTCAAATTGCTCGTGTTTATGATATGAGCAATTTGATAACTCCCTGTCCCTCTCATTTTGCTATCTTCTGCAAGCTGACAAAAAAACCCATACACCCCACATGTCAAACTGGCTAAGGGATATTCAATGCTGTGTTCAAAATGCTTACTGTTGTTAAAGGTTACTCATAGACGTTTGTTAACATTAGGCCAATTTCGGGCTCCGAGGTTTTTGCCGTTATATCGAACCAAGCTTGAGCAAAAACGAGATATTTGTCCCTAAGATTTAATCATTTTCTGTAATTAAAACTTTTTTCTATGAAAATGGCGCGAAATCTTATCACCTTTTTCTAGATCTATGCTAAGAATTTTAAAGTTTAGCCTAAAATATCACGTCATAAAAAATTGCTTTTATATTTGGTGTGTTTGGACTTTATAATCTGAGAGAAGACCACGAAATACCTTAATTTGGACAGATCAGCTAAATCGGTTACTTATTGGCTGAAATGAGACCATATAAGGACAGGCTCCTTTCCATCAGACCACTGTAATTTTGTGTTGGTTGTAAACATTTTCACTATCCAAAACAATAGCAATCTGTTTGCAAAATTCAGGTCGCTCACTGCCCGTATATCAGCTAATTAAACTGATTAGGCATAGTTGGATGTCTTTCGTTGTGGTCCTTAATTAGCACATCCATAAATGTATTTTCTGACGTCAGCATGCAGCTACTCCATAAAGTGTTTAAGTGTAAACTCATGATAAATATATTTTAGACTTTTGAATATTGACCACATAGCCTAAAAGAGCACCATGGAATGTTTTTTTCTATGCAAAATCAGTTGAATATGTTACAGATCGGATGAGATATGGCCATTGAAAGTTTTGAAGTTTGCTAACGGATTAAACTGCCATTTTTGCTCTGCTCATAAAGTTATGAACTGAGACCAAATTAAAGAGGCTTGATGTAGAAAGAACCGTTGTTCACGTGGCCAATTCGGAACACATTTAACTGATTTAGCACATTTTGAAGCTCTTCATGTTGCTCTTGGAAGAGAGGTCATGAGATCCAAATTCAAAAGATCTAAAAATAGATTTTTGTGACGTCATCACATAACTCTATATACCTGGTGTCTTCAGTTTTGCTTGTGGTTGTTTTGCAATGTTAGCGATCATTACTGTTTTTCTTCTAGAAACCAGGAATGGAAAATGCAGCATTGCTATTGAATAATAACAGTACGTGTATGTTGTTTGTTTATTTTCATTATTTCCATCCAGTTTTCGATGTAATTCATTTGATTGGTCGTAGCTATATCCCGCAGAGTGAGAAAAGGTTTTTTGCAATAATAAATGTGTGTTTTTGCTACGAGCAAAAACTGCAAATATAGATCCATCGATTCATCCAACGGCATAGCAATATAACACTGAAAATCCAAGATATCCAGCAGAGAAAACAAACAACTTTACCAGATTTTAAGCCTCTCTTTCCAGCTAACAACGATAAGATAATGCCTCAACAGATAACACAATGCTTCAACGGCTCGTTATTTTTAGATTGCCAATCTTTGCGCAAAGTTCCTGTTTAAGAATAAAGACAGCTGAGTCTTTGAGATGTGGATTCTCGGTTATTTATTTCGTAGCATTCCCAAAGTATTTAATTATGTTTCTCAGGTCCAACGATTCACGATTTTGCAGATATTTTGATCGAATCGATGGTTCCTCTCAGATCTTAAACGAGCAGAACTCACAAGAAAAATTGTGATATGAAAGATACTAACCATCTAACAATAATCTTTTTCTTTTTTTCATATCTTGTGATATATTTCTTTATTACTTACGGTGTATCCTTTACTTCCCCGTTCCCTCCCAGTTTATTTTGATTAGTCTCCTTATCTTCAAAATCTTGTCAAATCAATGAAATATGAAATGCTGTATTATGCAGCTACAAAAAGCTAACATGTTTCACATATTCCTTCAACGTTATAAACATACGATTCAAGTGCAAACTTGGTCCTTACCTTTTATTCTTGTCCCTCTTTTTCTTATTGTCTGGCCTGCTTTTGTCTTGTTGTTCTATCTCCTCGTTTTCCTTGTCATACACCTACTCCAATCCTTTCCCCATTCCTTCTACCATGTTTCATTATTTATATCACTACTCTATCAATTTTTAACCCTCTTAATTATTTTACTCCGTGGCATGTTTTCCATTGTACTTCATTTTGATCCTTTTTACCTATCAAATATCTAATACTAGTCTAATTTTGTTATGCGTCGTTAATCTTGTTAAAATGACTTGAACATGAACATGTTTGGTAGCGTTGTTGATGTCTTCATTTCAGTTGACTTTACCCACGTTCTCTCAAATGAATCATCCCTCGGCACTCTAGCTGCAGTGACAGGTATGTATCAGATTAAATCCATACCTAATATAACCGTTCCCATGAGCTTTGCGATAGATTTTATTTTGTATGTGTAAAGGTATGTGTAAAGGTGAGTCCCATACACGACCCATATATTCGTAAAATGCATGATAGAGAAAACTTGTCTTGGGTCAATAGCACGATGAACTAAGGTGGCCAATTTCTTTCCACTTTGAGGCCTTAGCCCCCTCAAGTGTTGTCACTTGGTGCCCATTTGCTGCTTAGGAGGCGTGTGTCCAAATTTTACGACTAGCCTGTCTTTGAAAGTGCTATTTTCAGCCCTACAGTCAAGCGCTTTAACAACTTGACCTCTTCGTCTCTCAGCGCCTTTAAAGTGAAAAGACTGTAATTTCTTTTGGTTGATAATTTCCCGCCATTTCTAATATTTTAAATCATTTGTTTTGCCAGGGCAGGTTTCAGTCGGAATTTGACCCGTTCCCTGGCCCAGCGCGTACCACTTCCTATGTTTAGTTCTAAGATTTTTGACTTCAACTTTCCTTTAAAAAAATTTCAATTTCTTACAGATTTATGCGATTTGTTCAGCCGAATAGGACTTGGAAAATATTCTCATGTTTTTGTGGAACAAGAGGTAAGAAATATATTAAACACTCATCGAAGACCAAATTATAAGTGAAATTAATGTTTCGGTCTAAGTTGAAAGGCCTAACAAGATTCTCGCACCAATTAGTGGCAACCGACATCGTTGATTCGATCCTGCACAGAGCCCTGAAAGTATGGCAGTCGTAAGGTCGAGGAAAAAGGTACCACGCCCGAATCCCACCTTATTTTCTTGTTTTCTGGGGAAGGTTTTCAAGTCCTTTGGAAATTATCCCCAGGATTAACGCTGTTCTGGACCCTGCTGTTCTGGACCCTTGTACCATAGTTAATTCATAAGGACATCAATTTGTTAATTCGTCCATAGAAAATATTAAGAATCTGCATCTCCACCTCCTTGTTTTGTATGATTAATCCACAAATTAGATCAAAATAGAGGTTACAGTTTCCTCTATGGTATATTGTCTGGGTGTATTTATTAACCTATCGTTTCCCTGATCTAGCTTAGATAATTGGTATTTTAAAGTGTTGGAGCGTTGCTTTAAGAAAACCTCAGTTATGTCACGATTCTTTTAGGTTGACTTGAACACCTTCATGCACCTCACAGACCAAGATCTGAGAGAAATTGGCGTGTCTACATTTGGAGCTAGAAGACGAATGATTCTGGCTATTCAAGGTTGGTTTTCAAATAACCTTCTTTTGCAGTTACATTGCATAGACGATCCACTAGAGTCAATGCCAGGTCTAAGAATCTGCAAATTCTTAGATTTGTGTTTTGTTTATCATTCAAATCTGTCCCAATTCAGAAATCAGATGATACATTACTGTAAGTCCTTGAATTAGCCTTCCCCCCTCCAATAAGTACCCCCTAGAATAAGCTCCCACCCTAAAATATCTTTTTGAAATAAGCCCTCCACCCTCGAATAAGCCTCCATATGCTGAGGTATTGCCTCGACAGCAATAGCATTATCCGAATATATCTGCATTTTAAGCATACCGACCAGCCTCAAATAGAGGAAAAAATTTGCCCTAGAAATATTTTTGGCTGCAGCTAAATAAGCCAAAACCTCCGAATAAGTCCCCCTCGAATAAGCACCTACCCCAAAATATTTTTTCGAAATAATCCCACGGTGGCTTATTCGAGGGTTTGCGATTTATAACTGGAAACTATGGCTATTCCACATAAACATTTTGACTGCATCGCCAACTAACTGTGACGTAAATGTGACGAAAAACTGACTGTGAAAGTTCCACAGAGTTGTTTATATTATTCTATGTAAATGAGGATTGTAGCATTATAGATAACAGAGATATTTTCATCAACGCCAATCCATTCCTTATGCTTAATGCAGCAAATACTGACTTTTGTGTCTACTTCTTCAGCAGCAACCCTTACAGTTATGAAGCTTCTATTAACTTTGTGTTTGATTGTTCACAGATTTGAAGAAAATCCATGGCCAGCGTGACTTGTCGAGCCCGTCGACAGTCACAAAAACAACACTACCCCAAGCTTTAGGCCAGAGGTGTGTACCATTGGACTTGGCCAGTAGCAGTCTTAGATGGTGAGGTACAATTTTTATATACGATAATCATTGGGCCGATTAATAGATTCATTGCACTTAGATGTGTGGTTAACAATCAAGCCTTAACCTTGCTAGTTCAAAACTAGATGAAATTCACTTTTATGACCCAAGAGAACCATTTCACCAGCCGTAAAACCTGGCAGCAACGGCGAGTCCAGTTTAGTACCAAGGATTTGCGTACGTTTTTAAAGCACATAGTAAAGCGACGTCGCGTCAGTGCCTTCGGATGAGCAAGGAAGACGTTTAACCTATCCTCATACAGCTGAAGCTCCCGCGAAATTCGCTGCATACTGTCCTGAACTGTAGCCTGTCCTTATCAACATACTCTCATTCGGTGAAAGCAAACTTGCAAGGGGAATCAATTATAACAAGGACTCACGGGATGGACATTTGAAGCTAACAACATTAACTGCTGTAAAAAGGGACAAGGCACAAGTGACGTGAAAAGACAGTTTATATGGCTGGCACGGAAATCAACACCAGTCATTTTAACAACAATGACAATGAGACGAACTTCTTGTTTATTTGGAGTTATCTCTTCAATATGAAGATGGTGCAGTTTATAAGATGGTTGGAAATGCTGAGTAATGTGAAAGACAAAGACTTTAATTTCTAAGTAATGGACTCAAGTATGGACGTATTTCGACATTTTTCCTTAGATTTTTGGTAGATGTAAAAGTTTGTGTATCTAAGGTATGGATGTCTTCACCTAGCTTAGCAACCAATGAGATTTTAGATACGGTGCACAAGACGACGATGAGGCAAAGCGCTAATCAGATTAATGATGTAGACACATAGCGAAGACAATAGCTTGAAAGGAGATCTTAGGGTAGCCCTAAGTAAAACTAACTCTTATTTGGGTAGCTCTCCTTGATTCCTTCAAAAGCCTCATAAGAACTCGTAATTTATCGATTTTTGCGGAAATAGAATATATTTTTGCCAGTTAGTCATACAGTTTTCCAAATGCTGTATAGTATTTCAGACTGATAAAATTAGGCTTGCGTAAAATTCGCTTATTCTAGACTGTGGGAAACTTAACATCGTAAAGTCAGCCCATCAAAGAGTTTTGTACTTTGTTTAAGGTACTACTAAAGTTTAGGTCATTAAGATCCGCCAGAATATCCAATAGAGAATGGTGTGTAGATATGTTGTGAAGTCAGTTTCAGCTAGGCTAATTTGAACGAATCGAATGCTGCAAGAAATGCGATCGCTGAAGAATTTTATAAGATTTGATACATAAAGTCATGCAGCAGAAGGTGATTCGTGAGAGAGAATTCGCCTAGTTTGAAACCAATGTCGCTTTCAGTAAAGCTGTGAGGGATTTGAGTTTCAGTTTTTTCTTTTGTAGTTGAGCATTTGGTAGAAATTTATAATGAGTTGTAATTTGTAAAAAAGGTGTGAATTTATCTTTACCATCGATCGTGCGCGCACGTTTAAAGATTTAGGTTAATAATTTTATTCAGTTTTTTACAAAATTAATTTTGATATCACTTCATTTGAATGCAATTAATATGCAGAAAGGGTTAGTGCAATAAATTTTAATGAGTTTTAATTACACTAGAAATCGCTCACAAATCGATGATTGCAATCGCCCATGCAATCGTTGATCACTATCAATTTTAGTTAAGGCTTTGGAAGTTTGCTTTGAACTTGAGCACGACAGCTTTTAAGAAATCATAAGGATTTTCGTTAGATATGTTTTATGCTAATTTACTTAAAAAATTTCATATGTAGAGTTATATTTCAAGATTTTTTTAATCAAAAGACCGTTACGTTTCTGGGAGGTTTTGATGAATGAGAGGTGAGATGAAAAAGAAAGTTTTACCAGTCCTCCATAATACTGCATGCAAAATTGCAAACAATGCTCAATTTGAAAGGCTTTTTGTACGCTTCATCCCAGTACCAATATCTTTTGACCATAGTGTTCGAAATTCATATTTCTAATTCGAGAAACTATGAGGTTGGTCCAATCATTGGGTTGATCTTAGTTTCATCGATTTCGTATCACGAATCGAGTTCCAACGTGATGACGTCACAAAATTTATGCTCGAGTTGTTTTGATCTGCACCACGCAATGCGGTGTATAGAATTATATTCACCTCATTGGCACCAAATTACCTGAATAAGCATTACAAAATACCTTGATTTAGAAACGTACAAAATCAGTTAAATTATTGACAAAGTGGCTGAGATATGGTCACGTGAACTCTTTCCTCCTAAATTCTATGAACCAGGCCAAAATAACAGTAATCCGTTAGCAAAAGTCAAATCTTTCATAAAGTCAATTTTCAACAGATTTTGCACTAGATGTATTTCATAGTACTTTTATGTTATTTCGCAAGCTCAAAAGTATTTTGATGACGTCACACTTGGATGCTCGTTTCATAGTATTTTGACACCCCTTTTTTATTCTACATGATCACCTCTTTTCATTTTCCTTTCGATTTGCAGAAAATTTAATCCTCAATGACGTAATTTCTGGCTTTTAGCGTAATTTAATTTATGACAGTTGCTAAATTGTTTTCTTTGAGCTTATGAATATTTACAGCACTTCACATGAATAGATTTTAGCTCAATTGCTGCTTGTATGTTTAAGATGTCTGGCTTCTGCATAGGGGCTTCTGGTACATGTTGAAAACACGAACATCTTGGTAAGGCAAGAAACCCCAATTCTATAAACTTGTATCATAGAATTTAACATAAGGCCAAACGGATACTTTTTCTTGCGATCTGGCCTTTCTTTAAGAAACCTTGAATCCAGCAAAGATGTTGCTCGTGACCGAGCTCTGTTCCCCATTCGACAAAACTGTTAATGCCTGAAAGTTTTTGATAATTGCTCAAGCCAAATCAGTTGGATCGTGTTTTCAAAGAGCTACTTGGGTGCAAAGTTGAATTTTTGTGTGTTAGGCAAGATCACTTCATAAGAAGCTTTTTTTTACTGTTAAGTATACGGTTGTAAACATTTGGCATGTCAGCACCATCCCATTGTCAAAGACCCATGGGCTTAATAATTGTTTATTTGTAATCATTGTTAGAGACAATGCAATAATTGTAAAGGATCGGTAGCAAATGACTGAAAAAATGTTTGTCCTTTTCAAGCTTTGCTGATGTTCCGTTCAAATCCGGTTCTATAGTTTTTACTTGTCTTTCCATTTGGGCTTTATATGATCTTAGATGTTTGTATATAAATGATGTTAAGTATCAAGCCAACAGACACAAACAACTAGCAGATGGTTCCAATGCCAAATTTAAGGAAATTTAAGGAAATTATTTGTTCCCGATTCTACACATTTACCCACAATTGGATGTCACAATTTTACCCTAGAGCCGACTTTCAAAATTTTGGTTCGCCACGAAGGACCTAGGGAATCTTAGATATTTGTGTTAAAAATTCCAAAAATATTTATGCGAATCTTTTATGCCCTTGCCTTTTCAATCGTCATTTGCTTTTTTATAACTGTTATAAATAGTTTGTTCTATTCTACCAATTCGAAAACAAAAGTTCAGAAAAACCAATAAATATCGATTGCCTAGGAGTCCCTCCTGGCATTGCCCAATGGAACTTAATCTGTTTGGATTAGATTGTATTTTAATTGTGAGGGTAAATTTTTTTCTCGTCAGCCATTTTATGAAGTTAATATTTGGGTATATATATAAACATATATATTTCGATGCCGCTGTTGTACTATATTGCCGTTAGTATGTACATGTTTAGAAGAATTGTTATCCTGTGGTTGTGATATTGTCAAAAAGCACATTCTAAGTTGCAAACATTTGTCTTTTTTTGCTTTTATTGCTCAGTTACGCATAACACGCTGACAGTGCGGGGAACCTGAATGTTAAACCACAGGTGGTGTGAATTTTGGGTCCAAGAGCAGAGGGGCCACGTTTTTGACAAAGAGTAAAAATTGATCATGATTGACCTTTCAATTTTTGCATTTGATGTTTTGCAAGCCATTTATCCATTAAAAGTTTTCCTTTTGCGATTAGTTTGAGTTGCTGTTATTATGGGGAAAAGGAAGGTCCAAGAATCTCCAAATGTGTCTTGGAATCAAAGAGCATGCGTAATAATGAACTTGTTCCATGCGCATGCTCTTCGTAAATGTAAACATCGATTTCAGTTACTCGAACTGTGTTTATGAATGCCTCGAGTATGAAATGCCAATCTTTAATGAACTATCTATGGCATATCCTAAACAATTCGGGCAACTGCGGGAAAATGACTCCCAATGGCGCAATTCGTTATCAGTGAAGTCGTCACAGAAACATTGGTCCTAACATAAATTCTTCTTACATGAATCGTTAATGAACCTTGAAATAGTTACATAGCTGCCTGAAAAAGCAAATTGTTTGCCCTTCTACCTCTGTAATCCTTGACTCAATTCTTCGACCTTACAGAGGCTTTAAGAATCTTTCAATAGCCATGGTGATGCCGTGTTAATCGAAATATGAATAAACACCAGCAACAGCTGTAGAAACTGGCTAGGCCATATTTTATGACCGAATGTTTGTCATCTCGATATCGTTTGCTTTGAATGAGAATGTCTAAGTTTGCGTACACTCCTTGCAGTCTCTTATATTTAAGGATAATTGCGTTGTTGCTTGAGGGCAGTTTAAGTGTAGAAGAAGGGATCAGTTAAAACAGAATGTGGCGAAATATACTTGTCGCGGCTTTGGTTATATGCCTGATTTTCTCAGGTATAACTGAGGTAGGTGATCACGATTCGATTCTTATAAACTATTGGGCATTTAGCGATTAACCCAAGGGAGGATGCGGAGAACTAAAAAATGTCTAACTTTAGGATCAATGTGAAATTTACTCTTCTTATTTGTATAAAATTATTTATAATAAACCCCTCTCAAGATCCTTAATTTGTTTTTATTCGAAATGCTGTCTTTATTTTAAAAGTTTTAAACTGGATTATTACAATTGCGGGATGGAAAAGAAAAATTGCGTTAAAGATTTGATGCAAGACATCTACTGATTCTACAATGCCTGCCAAAAGTCTTGAAACACTGTTATCAATTTCCAAGGTCAAAATCAATCATCCCCCTCTCCCCTATAGAACAATGTTGGTTTACTATCAAACGGGTTAGGATTTTAGAAAGCACTTCCTTTTGCGCTTCTTTTATGATATTTCTCTAAATC